TTTCTGAAATTTCCATCAATACTGGGGATAATTTCAGCAATGAACAAAACAAGCTTAATAATTGTTTAAGCTTTATTTCAAAGTGGACACTCTGGAGACCCTTGCTCTCTGATCTATCCCCAATCTGGGATGTGCAAGAGTGACTTTCACCCAAATTCCCGAAAGAGCCTGGGTGGCCAGTGCAGGGCATTGGCTTACTGGAAAGAGCCCAGAAGCAATCACTCAGGTGACTTTGTCTCTTCCAAAGCACTCAGAACCACAGCGCCAAGGTTCTTATCAGTCCTGTCCAGAATGATGAAGAGGTACTGGAAACCATACCCCAAAATGCCCTTATCTAGCCCCAGCAGTGTAATGGGGCCGCTGGTGGGTCTGTCTGCTCTTCTCTAATAGCACCAAGGAATGAGGCTTTCTGCAGTTTAATGGATTGCTGGGGAAGCTGCAAGTTTTGTTGCAGGGAAAGTCGATGAAAAATAACCTGCTAATTTCGGAAGCAATTTAGAATCATGACATCAGCATCCCTTCTTAGTGCTTGTGGAGTTTTCCCATCGCTCTCTATATAATACTGAAAGAATTCTCTTTACATATGGCAAATGCTCTGTGAGGACAGGGGCTAGATCTTATTCATCTTTATAAATGAGGTGTGTGAAATATATACTCAATAAATAAGTGCTTTTGACTGAACTGATACAATCAAATACAAATATGTGTGCATACGCTTGTATTGTGTGTCTGCATACATATACACACATATATACCCATAGGTTCGCGTGTGCACACACATGTACATATATAATATATATTTCTATATCATCCATTCATCTATACTTAATTTATTCATTATAAAAGTGCTTAATGAGAGATACTTCTATGATTTAAATGTTTGTGAAACCCTTAAATTCATATGTTGAAAGCTAATCACCAAGGTAATAGTATTAAAAGGTGGGGCCTTTGGGGGGTGATTAGGCCAAGAGGGCAAAACTCCCATGAAATGAGATTAGCACCCTTATAAAAGAGTCCCAGACACATTTCTTGCCTTTACTATGTGAAGACACAGCAAGCAAACTATCGATGAACCAGGAAGCACTCTCACCAGACACTAAATGTGCTGGCCCCATGTTCTTGGATTTCCCAGCTCCCAGAACTGTGAGAAATAAATTTCTGTTGTTTCTGAGTTACCCAGTCTGAGCTATTTTGTTATAGCAGCCTGAGAAGACCAAGACAGATGGTAAGGAATTAGTTGTCGTTACAAAGTCTGCTTAGGATTCCAGGTTATAGAATTGTAAGAGATTCCAGATTATAGAATTGTGAGACATTATTCCACAAAAGTGGCTGTAGATTACACTCAGTTGAGCATTAACAACAACAACAACAAAAAAGACTGATGTCCAACTATTCTGGTTTCTTTGCTTTGGGGAAAGACCCTGAAATTGCTTTTGTTTGAAGCCTCCCTGATGATTCTAACGCTCCTTCAGGTTTAAAATCTACTGCCTTGAATTGACTGGGTTAATAATTTTGACAGAGGAAGTGAGTACTACCCCACAGGGCTCAGCAAAAGAGAAACCTCTGTGTGCGTAGTGATGGGGGGGCACACACTTCCAAACTACACTCACACCCAGCCTGACATGTGGCTGCCTTCTCTGAGTCATGCTTTGGCGACTCCTGTAGATAAGTTCTCAAGTGTACTGGGAAGGAAACGGTGTTGGGAACTCCTGTTCTAGTTCAGCACTTCTCAGGCTTTAATGTGTCCAGGAATGAACTGAGGACCTTGGAAAAGTATGGATTCCACTCTGCATGCCTGGGCTGGGCTGTAGCAGCTGGGATTCTGCATTTCTAGCAAGCTCCCTGGTGATGCTGACACTGCTGCTGTGCAGCCTGCACTTAGATCAACAGCATCTCCCAGCTCAGGACACCCTGGACAGGAAACCTGAAGGTGGAGAATAAAACGTGGAGTGTCCTAGGGCATCTTACCTTTCATTTGTGTGTTGCCAGCGTATGCATTTCTCTTTAAAGTGTAATAGCACTGATGGGGGGGGGAGGGTGGTTCTAATTTTAATATTTGCTTTTCATTTTGGGACAGGCCAGCAGCAATCCCATATGGATTGACTGGTTTGAGGGTGCACAAGAGGAAGGAGTGAAGAAGAGACTGGGACTAGGGGAGGAAAAGGATGCTCTGAGCTTTGGGAAAGAAGAAGAGTTATTCTTCAGGGCAGGTTCCTCATGTTGAGGTGTCAGATAGTCAAGTGTGTAGGCTCCACGTGGATGCATCCTAATGGAAGGAAGCTAATGTTTGTGAAGTGGTGACGGTTTGGCTGTCCTCTGGTCTACGCATTGCCAGCTTGAAATCTAAGGTGACTGTAAAGCTGCAACCACACAGCTTCCCTTTAGAAAGCTTGGTGAGAAGCCATCTTCAACAGAGACCAACTCCCTGGCTGAAAAACAAAGCCACTGAAAGTCCTCATAAAAGGGGAAAACCTCTCTTACAGAAGAGGCCTTTGGCATAGGGTGAAATCATTAAAAGACATAGGGCCGGGCGCGGTGGCTCACGCCTGTAATCCCAGCACTCTAGGAGGCCGAGGCGGGTGGATCATGAGGTCAGGAGATTGAGACCATCCTGGCTAACACGGTGAAACCCCGTCTCTACTAAAAATACAAAAATTAGCCAGGCATGGTGGTAGGCACCTGTAATCCCAGCTACTCGGGAGGCTGAGGTAGGAGAATCACTTGAACCAGGGAGTCGGAGGTTGCAGTGAACTGAGATTGTGCCACTGCACTCCAGCCTGGTGACAGAGCAAGACTGTCTAAAAAAAAAAAAAAAATGCATAGAGGCAGAGACTGAAGGGTGGAAATCTCAGCTACAAAGCCAAGCAGACTCTCATAGCAAACATTGCCAGACATTTCAGAGGCATCCCACATTGCTCCTGAAGAGCAGAGTGAGTGTGAAGATAAAGGCTGCTGCCGTGGACTGAATGGTGGCCCTACCACACACCCACATCCCCATCCCCATCGCTTGTGAATGTGACCCTGTTTGGGAAAAACATCTTTGCAGATGTAGTTAAGGATCTTGATAAGAAATCATTCGGACTATCCAGGTGACCCCCAAATCCAATGACAAATATCTTCACATCAGACAGCCAGAGGGAGGTTTGAGGTGAGAAGAAGAATAGAAAATATGGCCAGAGAGGAAAAGGTCACGTGAAATGGAGGCAGAGAGGGGAGTGACGCAGCCACGGGCAAGGAAAGTCAGGAGCCTCTGAGGTGAATGAGACCAGGAAGGATTCTTCCCTTGAGGCTTTGGAGAAAGAAAGGCCCTGCTGACCCCTTAATTTTGAATTTCTGGCTCCCAGAACTGTCAGTGACTAGATTCCCAGTGTTTTAAGCCATGCAGGTGGTAGTAATTTGTTAGACAGCCCAGGACACTAATACACCTGCTGTGCTGTTTATGCCATCAGCAGAAACCTCTAATTCTTCTATCCTACAGTGAAACTGCCGTTTGCCTAGTTTATCCCCAGTACTAATTTGGGTCTGAGAGTTCATCCCCTTTGTGGTGCAACCACAGGTTAACCAGCTCACCTGGATTGACATTAGCCCTGACTCCCTTACTGGTGACTTCTCCATTTCCCACAGCCGAGGGAATAAAGGAAGGAGCACTGAACTGGGAGTCAGACAGACTTGAATTCCTGCTCCACCTTCATCTCAATGCTCTGAGCCCTCTCAGACAAGTCATTTAGATGAAGCAGCTAATCTTCCAGGAAGCTAGTAATACCTGCCACTGGGTCCTGCTGTAAGGATCGAGGAAGAAAAGGAGGTCACAACTCCTGGCAAGAAGGGATGCTTGATGAGCTTAATTCTCTCTCAGGTGAGGAGCCCATCTGTGGACTACGTGCCAGGGAGCTCCTGCTGTGCTTTTCATGGCAAGAGGAAGAGCAGAAGGTCCAGCCTTCCCATCCCATGGGCTTGGCTGTGAGTCAGGTCACTCCACCTGGACACCTGTGGGCATCCATGGGTAGCTGAGATTACCGGGGCCATCACAGCATCTGCTGCTGTCTCTGTCTCTTGGACCAGAGCCCTCCAGCCAGTGCCCACCTGCGAGGTACAGCCATTGCTGTCCCCTAGCCTCCCTCTAGGATCAGGACATCCACCCAGAAACCAGGCAGTCCTCCTCCCTGAGTCAATTCTGCTTTTCAGAGGGTTAAGGAACTTCTTGCATATCCAGAGGGTAAGGATATCATCATTCTCCAGTATCATAGAGATGTAAAATGACAGGGCAAGGGATTTAAAGTAGGTCTGGTCTGCCTGACTCTGAAACTCCTGCTCTTTCTAATACAATCACTGCTTTTCACACCAAAGAGGAATAACAAAACTACTTTTCTGACTGGCAAAATAAAGCAAATAAATAGACAAGGAGATTAATTTTAAAACTGGTCCACCAATCTTTGCCAATTTCAAGGTTTTTCTTTCACTGTAAATATTTCTTAAACGTTTGAGTCCTGCTTTTTTTTTTTTTTTTTTTTACTATAGACATCAGGGATGGCTTTTTTTTTTTTTTTTTTTTTTTTTTTTTTTCTATCAGGCACAAATTTCGGTGTCTCAGACTGACCACACCACTTACTCTGGGTGTCCACAAAGAGAAAGTTGGACTCCAGGCTTTCTCCTGTGGGAAAAAGCGCACAAACCACTGTCCTTTTACTTATTCCTTCACACCCATGGGTGGAAACTGACTGGGTGCCCTTCTAGCATCATGGTGCTAGGGTATCTTGTCCCTGCCCCACCACACACCCGTGCTGGGTGAGAGCAAGTGCTCTGTCCATGAGAAAATGCTGCTACTGGAAAGAGGAGTTTTCCCAATACCAAAGCGCACAGCCCCAGCCATGGCCTCTCAGGAAATCCCCTTTCCACGGGTGGTCACACTGGCATCATTTCTTAGTTCATCTTCTAGAAAACGCCTCCTGTCCCCACTACGAAAAGGGAATTGGGACTCACAGTGATCCCATGGTACTTACTGCCTGTTCATAGTTCTTGGCACCCGGCAGATAAGAGGGATCTTCAATTCAGCCTGTGGAACAAAAGCAAACTCGTTACTGGAACTTCCACATCATGTTTTAATTCTGGGGAACAAGCCACTGTTGCTTCTTGTTAAAATCGGATACAGGTGCTGGTTTAGAGGAAATGGCAGAAAGAATCAATCCAGGTCAAGAATTGGCTTATTTCTGGAACGCAGTGGGGGAGGGGATTTCTTTCTCTGACAGGCTGTCCTCTTTCTGTCAGCATTCATCCCATCTGCCTCCGGGAGCTGAGGAAACAGAAACTGAGCCTGGCTTTCCCTGGTGTGCAATTGTGTGCTCCCCCTGGGCACCGAGGGCACATCAGCCAGGCTCGGCTGGCTCTGCTCCGAACCAGAGCGTGCAGAAGGGGTGCTTTTCGTTTCCAAGTGTGGCTTTACCATAAAATATTTATTGAAAGTTACAGTTCTATATCACTTTACGTAGAATGCAGCATTTTTATTTGAGCCTTGTATTCACCCACATAGGAAAGATTATTAATGTTATTTACCATATAAATTAGCAGCAGAGACCTTGGGAGTATTCAGTAAGGGCTTTGTATCAATGACCTCATGTAACCTACTCAAAGGCCCTGAGAGGTGTAAAGGATATCAGCTGAGGTTCCAGCAAGAAACAGATGGCACTCTCAAATTGGGTAATTTGAGAACAGCTTAATAAAGAGACCATTTAAAAGGTGTTGGCAGGGTAGAAGGAATCCACAGAAGACAGTGAAGTATCTGGGGGTGGTAATAAAAGGGCGCTGTCACATGCCTGGGCTTGGAGGGGTTTGGGGACCAGGTAGGCACTGGGACACAGAGACAGGGCTCTCTTTCTGGGTTGCGAGAAGAGGAGCTGTGGCTTTCAGTTGTGGGACCTGCAGGGAGGGAGCTGTGGTGGGTGGAATGAAAATCCCATCTCAAGCTTCTTTTGCCCTGGATCTCCTGATGCCATTTCCCATTGGCCAAACTCAACAGGAAGCCAAGGGCGAGGAGCTATTAATATGGTTTAATATCCATCAGCTTCCCTGGGCTCCCAGATGAGGGGAGTAGGGTAGAAAGTGGGTTTCACAGTTAGAGAATGAGACCCAGGAAGATTTAATTATGTGACTAAGAATACCCATCTGCAATAAGAGCCAAGGTCCCGAGACCCAGAAATTTCCATTTCCTAACCTGTCAGCATATGGCACCCCACTGAGCCTTAGGCATTTTTAGTATATTCGGTCATCCATCTATCCATTCATTCATTCATCCATCTGGGAAACTACCATTTACTGAAAATTTACTTTGTGCAAATATTGTGCCCAGTGAGACACAGTCCCTACCCTTAAGCCACTTCTAAAACTAAGTATAGTACGGTTTCTGCATCCTCCATGACATCCCTGCTGTTATTAAAATGTTTTGCAAAAAACAGTTAATTGTAAAACAAAACATAACAAATCCTAACTCTGTCTTGGAGAGCCAGCCAGAGTAATCTTCATAGAGGAGACAATATTTGAGCTTCGTCTTGCCAGGTAAGTCTGGGTCTTTTGGGCTCAAAATTAAGGAAGGTGTTCCAAGCAAATGGAGCATCATGTGCAAAGGTGTGAAGATGTTACAATGCTTATCGTGCCAGAGTGGCTTTGCACACTTTGGTGAAACTAAAAGGGTCGGTAGCTGGGATGTTGGTAGTACATGAAAAATAATGAGGGAAGGTCCCTTGCATTGAGATGATCAAGGATCATGCACGCTAAGGGATGGGATTTGAAATTAAACTGTGTGATCTTCAACCTATACTGGCAACCCATGGTAAGGAACTTCAACTAAGCTCTATGACCTCTGATACCCTGTGTATTTTCCTTTGCCCTCACCCCCTTGCCTCATCCCCTCGTCTTATGTTGTAGGTCAATATTGACAGCAGGGAAAGGAGAGGCAGCTGTTAGCCTTTCATTCACTGATGGCCCACTATGGCAGTGTGTAGAGTGCCTAGCCTCACTTGGAAGTCATTTCCATCATGGCGGTGGGAAAGAGGACTTGAACTTTCATCAGTGTCATGCAAAGAATGCACATCAAATACTGGAAGGGTCCTGGACTGGAAGTTGAGGGACCTCTGTTCAGTTCCAGTGCTGTCATTAACTAGCTGTGTGGCCTTGAAGGAACATTTGGTCCCTCCTCGTTTATAAATAGTAGTATCAATATCTTTCTTTTACATCATGTCTTAAGTGTGAAATAAACTGACGCATATGAACATGTCTTACAAACTATGAAACGTTATGAAATACGGATATGCAATTACTTGTATAACAAAGCAGAGTTTGCAAGGTGCTTTAGCACATCATGTTATATTTGGGTATGTGGGGATATTGTTGCCAATTTTTGAATATTAATACTTACAGCGATTAAATTACTTGATTACAGTCATACAGGACAAATCCATCCCCCATCCCTTAAAAGTATCTACCTCTTAATGATAGCTGCTTATACAGCTACCTCATTCTTCTGAATGCATTAAGTAGCATTGAAATGGGACAAAATAAACCAATCTTTATGGACGGCTCCCTGTGTGCCCGGATCTTGGCCAGTTCTTGTGTACAGAGTAAGGGGACCACAGATGCAGGACAGTTCTCTGCAAGGCTTATTGTCTCAAATCAGAGGTCTGGCAAGGTGGCCAGGGAAGCTGCTCTCCAGCCCCAGCCCTGCCATGCACCGTGCAGCTTTGAGTAAAGCATTGGAGCTTTCTGGGCTTTCGTTTCTTCACCTGAAAAATGAGCAGCTTAAGCCAAATAGGTCTTTTTCAGCTCAGAGAAATGGAAATAGTTTCATTAAAAAAATTACAATCCATCAATATTTGGTGACAAAAATGGTTTCAAAAGTTAAGAGTCTGTCATTACATTTCTTATAGTTTATTGTCTTCTCCAATAGAGCTCGGTTCAGAGCCAAATTGCAGGGGATTCTGCCAAATTGCTAACACATAGGATAGCAGGGATGGAAACAGGAGGGATCAGGGAGGAATCCTTAATTTTTGCCTTATATGTATATTATTTGATCAGTATTATCAGTGCTTATTAGACTTGTATTTTAAAATTTGAATAAAAGTTAAAAATATTCTAGTAGTAGCTTTTGAGAGATGCAAGCACTTTATTGTATAAGAAGAGTTTAAAAATATTATACAGAGAGCCCAAATTCTTCTGACATTTTAAAAAGCAGAATTTGAGGCCAGATGCAGTGGCTCACGCTTGTAATCCCAGCACTTTGGGAGGCTGAGGACAGTAGATCATCTGAGGCCAGGAGTTCGAGGCCAGTCTGGCAAACATGGTGAAACCCATCTCTACTAAAAATACAAAAACTGAGCTGGGTGTGATGGTGGGCGCCTATAATCCCAGCTACTCGGGAGGCAGAGGCAGGAGAATTGCTTGAGCCAGGGAGGCGGAGGCTGCAGTGAGCCAAGATTGCACCGCTGTACTCCAACCTGGGCAGCAACAGTGAAACTCCATCTCAAAAAAAAAAAAAAAAAAAAAAAAAAAAAGCAGAATTTGAGGTTTTAGCGACCCTCACCAGAGACTGAGTTAGCCACAAAGTATCATCAGCAAGACAAAAGGGATGGCATTCTACAGGGTAAACAGCTGTGCTCTACTCAGAATGGCTGACACATTGAAAGCACCACACTCTGACCTGATCTTAGCCATTGTGCAAAGGATGTGGTGAGTCAGTCAGAAAGCCTTATGTCCACTGGCTTTTTGAAGGTAATATATTGTAGAGAATACAAGCCCCTTCCCTTCCTCATGTGTGTATTTTCAAAGACAAGGGAGTGAATACAGATCACTTGTTGTATATCCTCCATCTCCCGACCTCAGTAACCTCATAGGGTCTGTATTATGATCCTCATTTCATACAAAATCAAACATGTTTTAGTTATAAAGGAAATAATGTATACCGTGGTCCATTTCCAAGACAAAGTGCCTTGAATTGGCTTAGGTCAGCAAACTACAGAAGAAACAGCTTTCCCCCACCTTACTTGCCCTCACCCGAACCAAAGAAGTTTAGTCTAAGATAAAGGTTTACTAGTATGCAAAATAGCTTGCTCTGTCTGTTCTTATTGGCCTACCCAGCTACTTAGGTCATAAGCCAACTACTTAAAGAGCAGCTGAGCTAACTAAGATTGCAATGCATTGTGGGCTGTGACAAAATGCAGCAAGACAACCCTAAAAAAACCACCTAAAGCCCCTGCCTAACAATCAATAGGCAACGTCAGGGAAGATTGTGACCCCATAGCACTCAGCCTATGAGGAACTGGGGGAGGGACCTGCACATTACGGGATAAATGGCTTGTTGAAACTGTTTTGGGTGTGAGTGCATGCCAGACACTGGATCTTGTAAGACCACCATTAAAAGTCTCACTTTTGCTGTTCTCCGGATCTCTGAGTCCATTCTTTGGGTTTGGACAGGTGAGTTTGTTTCTCACAGTTATGCTTTGGGACAACTGTTTAACCATTCTGAGCCTCCGTGTGCTTATCCGTAAAATGGGGGTAACACAACAGCTACCTTTAGGACTCTTATGAGGATTACATGAAAAACTATCATATCTAAGACATGGGGGAAATAGTGATTAATATGAGTCTGAACTTGAAGAGTAATTAAATGCCTTATATCACTTTAAGTGCCTTAAAGTGACACTGGATTTAGTTAGAAATGAAAGATGCTTAGGTAAGCATCTTGAGGTAAGTATCTGCTAATAACCACTGATGTAATCATAGAATCTCATACCCGCTTATGCTTTGGAATTACCTGGAAACCTTAAAAAATATAACGTCCCAGAAAGTTTTACTCAGTTGTTCTAGGGAAAAGCCCAGGTATGGACATTGTCTAAATGTCCCAGGTATTTTAACAGGCAGGGAGGCAGAAGGGAGGCAGAGGGAGGGTCATTCTATTCGTGTCTCCATCTGGCCAGCACCACTCACTGGCAGCTTGTCACTGAACACACCGATTTTTCTCATTCTTACGGAAAGCACCAAATAATCACATGTTCACTCTCCTTGCTG